TCCCCACACTGCCCACCCTCTCACCACCACCCCCAAGCCCGGAGGGACCCTACTTGGTGGAGTTTGGGGGAAGGCGACAGACCAGTGCCTGGCTTCACCCCCAGCCTCTTTGAACAGAAGAGGCTCCATGAGGGCAAAGACCTGCTTAAGGTGACTCCGGCTGTGGGGACAGATGTAAGACCAGAATCCGGGCCTCCTAGCTGAGGACTCTGGCCTCCATCCTATCATTTTATGGTTTTCTGAGGTTCTTCCTCAGAAACTCAGTCTCACTGAGTTTGCAAACTGTCCTGTCCAATGAATGGAGCAGAAGCAGAAGAAACCTGGGGCCAGAGAGGTGCTGTGACTTGCCCAAGGTCACACAGTCAGACTGTGTGGGGCAGGGCTCTCGCAAGGGGCAGTTCCGGGAAGGGCTGGAGCAGCGCTGGGCCTCCCATCTCCATGCAGGCCCTGTGGACCGCCCTGTCCACCTCAGCTGGGAGGGAGGTGGGAGGGAGGTTGTCCTGCAGGGCTCCCCCCGCCCCTCTCACCCCAGTCCGGGGAAGCCCGCACCCCCAGACTCACTGACGCTGGGCTCCCACTTACCGCCCCTTGGGCCTTCCTCCCTTCCTCTGCAAAGGGGGGCAGGTGCCAGGGCTGTATGAGCCCATGGGGGGTCGGCAGTCCCGCGGCAGGGAGGCCTGGCCCTCTGGCTGGCTGATGAGCCCCACCCTCCCCTGGCCTGGCCTCCAGCCCGGTCACCCTCAGTCCCTTCCGCCCTCTCCCCAGCTCTGCCTCCCGCTGGCCCTGCCATCACTCACCGGCCGGAGCTGAGCACCAGGAACTGTCCTGGAACAGAAGCAAGCAGGATTTATTGATCACTTCCCTGACATTCTACCTGCTCAGAGAGGCGGGAATAATAGACTGATTTACAGGTGAGTCCTCCAAGGACCCGAGGGCAGGCCCTGGAGGATGGCTGAGATGACCACAGGAACGGCTACGTGTCTGCAGGACCAGGAATGACATGTCGGCTGCTCACTCATTAGGGCTTGGTGGGGACGGGGTACAGATGGGGCCCCTCTCTATGGATGGCTCCCTCATAGTGCTGGTTATGCAAGTTTCCCTCGGGCTCCCTTACCAGCCCTCGCTGTCGTCGCCCTGTCCCAGAGAGGCTTGGGCCCCAACTTCATTATGGGCTTTGGGGGTGGCAGCATCAACTTTTGGCTGAGCCCCGGAGTCTGGGACTTTAGCCACTCCTCTCCCCCAGCCCAGAGATGGGAACCCCTGGGCCAGTTGCTCCTTTGCTCAGTGGCCGAGGGGAATCAGGGGAGATGGTAGGGCCAGAACCCCTCAGCCAGGCCAGCTCCCACAGGATGAACCGGAAGCCCCCTCCCACCCCATCCAAGTTCAAGGCCACCCCAGAGGCTTAATGATCCAACTTGAGGAGTTGGGGTGTTGGGGACAAAATATGCACATCCCACTCCTTTGATGACCCATACAAGGACAATGCTTAGCTCATCACGATGGCCCTCAAATGGTGGACATTTCAGCACCATGTGGAATATGGTGGAAAGACCTGTGGGCAGGTGGAGGCTTAGAAAGGAGCTAGTTTTCCAGCTGGTCCCGGGCAACTCCTAAAATAAATTCATTTTAAAAAAATCACATGGCATAGGCGGGTGTCTACTTTGTCCACAGGCAGGCCTGACCCGGTGGGGGAGGGGGCAGAGCAGAGAATAACAATTGTCTTAAGGGAGGCTGCGGAGGGCAAAAAAAAACCTCTGGGGTGTATCAGCTGGAAAAGAATAGGCGTCTCAGTGTGGCCCTCTGCCCCCCTTCTCAGCCCGGCCCCTGCGGGCGGGGGGGGGGGGGCACCGGCAGCGCACACAGCTGGGGCCTCCAGCAAAATCCCATTCTATATATCTGGGAGCAAAGGCTCGGAGAGCGGCCCCCGGAGGGACAGAACCTCATTGTGAGGCGCCCGCCGGCCTGGGCGCCCCCTCCCCCAGCCCCAGAACTGTCGTGGCATTGACCCTCCTCAGTGGGCCACCACGGGCCTGCTGACTGGGCCACATCTGGGGCTCAGGCACCGGCCGCCCCTCCCCCACAGCTGGCCGCTGAGGAAGGGGAGGGCTGCCTGGGTGGGCGCAGCCTCGCCCGCTCTCACCCCCGTGCCCCCCAGCAGCCCGGCTCGCCCCCCCCCCACGCTCCTCTGGGGAGCCACTGGCGGGCAGCGCCGCACGCTCTTGGCTGGTGGGGCTGCGACCTCGGTCGGCCGGTGGTCCTCCCGCCCCTCCGGGCCTCGCGGTCTCAGTCCCAGTCCCATCATCTGTCAAACAGTGGTCGGGTGGGATCAGTTTTCCAGCTCTGACTTGCTGTTTCGGAGGATCCTGAGCGGCTGTGAGCAGCACCACTCCGTAGTGAGATGATTCGCTGGGTCAGAGATTCCAGAATTCTCTGCTTCCAAAGTCTCAGAGATCTAGGATTCTGAGGTGTGAAGATGCTATTGTCCATTCATTCCACGTATATTTACTGAGGACGTACGGCGTCCCAGCTAGTGTTCTTGGTGTTGAAGCTGCGGCAATGACCAAGCGAGAAAAATCTCTTACCCTCACAGAGCTTCGGATCTAGAGCGAGAAGGATAATCACAAAGACTAAGTAAAAATCTTTTTTTTTTTTTTTAAGATTTATTTGGCCGAGAGAGACACAGCGAGAGAGGGAACACAAGCAGGGGGAGTGGGAGAGGGAGAAGCAGGCTTCCCGCCGAGCAGGGAGCCCGATGCGGGGCTCGATCCCAGGACCCCGGGATCATGACCTGAGCCGAAGGCAGACGCTTAACGACTGAGCCACCCAGGCGCCCCAAGTACAAATCTTTTATGTGGTGAGAAAGAAGGGCAGGTAGGGGGAATTGCTTCAGGCAGGGTGGTCGGAGAGGTGATGAGTGAGGTGGAACCATCATGCGGGGTCAAGCATTGTAGACAGATGGAACAGCACGTGGCAGATGCGCCTGGCATGCTTGAGGGAGGGCAAGGAGGCCTTGGGGGCTGTGACTGAGGGAGCAATGAAGAGAAAAGGAGGAGCTGAGGTCAGTGGTACGGGCAGGGGCAGCTCACAGAAGGCCTCAGCGACCAGAACAAGAGGATTAGATATTGTTTTGAACATGATGGGAAACTACTGGTTTTCGAAAAGGAATGACATGATCTGAGTGACATTTTTTAAAAAGAGTGATTTGAGGGGCGCCTGGGTGGCTCAGTCAGTTGGGCGTCTGCCTTCAGCTCAGGTCCTGATCCTGGGGCCCTGGGGTCCTGGGATCGGGGCTCCCTGCTCAGCTGGAGAGTCTGCTTCTCCTCTCGTTCTGCCCCTCCCCCAACTCGTGCTCTCTCGCTCTCGTGCTCACTCCTCTCTCAAATAAAGAAAATCTTTTTAAAAAATGTTTAAAAGCAGGACGCCTGGGTGGCTCAGTCGTTAGGCGTCTGTCTTCGGCTCAGGTCATGATCCCAGGGCCCTGGGATCGAGCCCCGCATCGGGCTCCCCGCTCCACGGGAAGCCTGCTTCTCCCTCTCCCACTCCCCCTGCTTGTGTTCCCTCTCTCACTGTCTCTCTGTCAGATAAATAAATAAAATCTTTAAAAAAATGTTTAAAAGAAACAGAAAATAACCACTTTTGATAGGGCAGCATGACTGAGGGTACAGCACCCCCAATCAGCCTGATGGCTCAAGGATTTAGGCTAAGTCACTTGAGGGAAGGAGAGCCGGGGGAAGAGAGACATGCTCTGCCTTGCTTTCCAAGAGTGGACAAGTAAGTTCTAAGAAAGAAGGAGGGTTCGCTTGGGTCACCTCTAGTGATCCCAGACAACCGGGCTCAGACACATACTCACTTCCGGACAGATCAAAACACCAGGTGGACACCTCACACCAGATGAAAATACCCCCACATGGACCGATGATCTAAATGTAAGAGCTGTAGGGCGCCTGGGTGGCTCAGTTGGTTAAGCGACTGCCTTCGGCTCAGGCCATGATCCTGGAGTCCCGGGATCGAGTCCCGCATTGGGCTCCCTGCTCGGCAGGGAGTCTGCTTCTCCCTCTGACCTTCTTCCCTCTCGTGCTCTCTATCTCTCATTCTCCCTCTCTCAAATAAATAAATAAAATCTTTAAAAAAATAAAAAATAAAAAAATAAATGTAAGAGCTGTAACTATAAAAACCCTTAGAAGAAAACACAGGCATAAATCTTTATGACTGTAGGTTAGGCAAGGATTTCTTATTCATGACACCAGAACACAAATGGCAAAGAAAAGGAGAGATTGGACTTCATCAATATTAAAAAACTTTTGTGCTCCCAAGGACACCATGAAGAATGTGAGAAGACCATCCACAGGGGGAGCAAAATTTTGCAAACTGTAGATCTCATAAGGGACTTGTATCTAGAATATAAAGAACTCTTACAACTCAATGATAAAAGAGCAAATAACCCAACTTAAAAATGGC